AAGTGTGGAACTGCCGAGATAGAGGTACTTAATGTGTATATCCCGCCTGTTAATAGCTGTGAACCGCGTTACTTGCCTAATATAAGCCCACTTTTGGAAGGCAATAACCACCTGGTACTAGGGGATTTCAATGCCCACCATGAGTTATGATATTCCGTCCTAGGTAATGACCAGAGGGGATCAGCATTGGCAGAGCGGATTGACAGCTCCACATTTTGATGGCCCCACCCGAATAAGAGGCTAAGTCGTCCATAAAGCTTTGTTGGTCCCGCCAGGACTGTGCAACATCTCTGGTAATTAATCAGCGTATGAATTCGAGTGAATAGATTTGGATATCGAAAACTCGGTGAAGCCACCTGTCAAGTTAAAATAGTACTACCTTTTATTGCATTCATGTAGAAAAGTTATTTTGAGTACTAAGATATGCAACCCTGAACTATAAAGGACCATAGATGATTCCACGAGTTTTAGGCAACTGTATATACATAATATGGCATTCTTGAAACTAACAAACGAATAGGAAGTTCTGTTCCGTATTCAGTTCCGATAAGATGAAGGAAAGGTGTGAATTGGATGTCTCAAGCGAAGAGGAAGCTGAGGACGGTTTCGGATCAGGACAGCCCAATTGTCAAGTTAAAATAGTAGTAGATACCTTTTATTGCGTTCATTTAGAGAAGTCATTTTGAGAACTAAGATATGCAATGTAATCCCTGTAATTTGATAATGTAACGTATTTTGAGATTGTAAGAGGGAGTTGAACAGAAGAAATCAACCTGACAACACGAGTGAATTTGTTCTCCGAATATCTTTTTTAATAAACGTTTATTTTTTTCATTTCATTATTCAAACGGTCGTTGTATTTCATTTGGGTCTACGGATCTCTGAATAATCTTCAATCGATCACTTGACCCTCTTGTTATTTTTTCCGATGATATATAAACATTATTCCGAGAGATGAGATGTCTCTACGCAGATTTGGCCGGTAATCTCTGGGAAGAGATCAAATTCGCTTATCTACAAGGAGAAATCAGACCTAAAACTTGTGGTGGGAATAATCACAGGTAACTTCTAAGTGAGGTGACGACGACACCAAATACTGCAGACTCTGTCAAGATATGGAGGAAACAAAAACTGATTGTATCTACTAGGTCTTAAAAGATCATTAATTCGCATACATAAGATTATGAAATCTATCCATTCATATTTTTTGTTTAATCATCAATTAATTTTAACCTGCCAGTACAAGAAGGCAAAACCAAATTACTATTCTAATATTGACCCCATAATAGCAGAAATTGTATATTCTATTGTATCTGAGTATATTGAATATGAATTAATAAAATATGAATTGAATATTGAATAACCAAGGGACAAAGATTAGTGATTTGGTATATATGGATCAAAAATCATGGACCAAGAATTATATTAGGATGCCACCAGGGCCTCGATTCATCGATTTTAAACTATGCAGACCATTGGATACATTTTGATATTGTAGGAAAGGTATACACATTTCATCAGTCTGACAACGTGACAGGTTGTGCTCGAATAGGCTGTGTTCTGCAATACTGAGGTCTTTGAGGAAACCTTTGTTTTAGGGTAACGAAGTCACAAAAGGATTGTCGAATGTATATTGGATGGCAAAGGAATAAGAGCATCAAAACCCATATCCAATCTGAATCAATCGATTTTTAAGAATTAAATTTATTGCTGATAAATGACGATTATAAATGTCAAGTGATAATGAAGGCGGAATATAAGAACAAGTTACAAACAATTTAAATTTGCCCAATTCAATGGAAACGTCAATAAACTTTACTAAGGAACAACATTTAAATCAATTAAATTAGTAATATATTTGGCATCGACTGCAATAAGGACGCCGTATTTTTTCAAACACGATCTTTCCTAAATATTTCATATTTGAACATACATACGATTTACAGATGTTTTCAACCAAGTATCGGAGACAACTAATACATTATAATAAAAATCAATGATTTTCTTATATAAGCGGGAAATTTTGTGTTAAGCCCCTTACATTCTGATAGCAAACAGAAAAAAAGTTAAATATTTAGTTTTTAGACAAAGAATCAGTTGGCAATAAGTCGGCTATAAGTTAGTTATCAAATCAAATGCAACCATGGATACATTTTTCATTGAAAAAACATTGGCCGACCATGTAACAGATAATCTCTACAAAAACAGTATTAATCCAAAGTAGGCGTGAAAAGTGTTCAAAACAATATTTTTCCATTCAACATTTGCACCACATTAATTCGTTCTGCTCAAAATATGTTTTATTCAATTTTCTAATTTTTCGAAAAATATTTTTTGTATGGATTTTCTTCACATTCTTTTGCTTACTTTTGTTGAAGCGGATCAACGTCGTCTTCATCTGAATGCACGTCAAAACCACTTTCATCAATTTTATTGTCTGTAATGCGAAATTATCGTCTCTATTGCAAATTATCTTTACCGCTTCGCTTTCCGGATCAAAATGCATTTCTAGTTCATCTTGCTGCCATCATACACGAAAAATTCCATCCATTTTTATCCATGCTTATCATATTTCGCTTATGTGAGTTCCAAAACAAACTTAAGTTCATAATACGAAACAATAACGTCACAAATCTGCTATGAATATAGGTGTCAATTTCTGTCTACTGCTTATGTGTATGTGGGCCTTTTGGCTCAATAAGAAAACAAATCGATCACGGAATGATATTTATTCAGACAAAGTCTTTTCCTCTGACACAATTGTATTATTGTCATTATTTGTGTTTGACATACTATTAAGTCAGCATTATTTGTTCAGTGACACATTTATTTATACTCTGTGCGTTGACATGTTTATCACCTTATTACAAATTAAACTATGATGGGCATTTTGAGTCAGTTTTCCCAAGCAATCAGAAAATTGTCTACAAAACGATGTAATTCTCTAGAGGCAGGCTTTGTCATCAAATTCTACCAAAATATGATGGTCCCACTAAACAAAGTCATGGTATCTCTAACATCCTTTATGATGCGCAACTTTTGTTCGAATTACAGCGTAGTTACTGGGCGTGAACAGTCGTATGCCAGTGTTGTTACACACCCAGTCCCGGTAATTAACGGCGATATAATGAAAACGGTAAATAATCCTGAGGTTGTGAGTATTGATAGTAAGGTTTCCAAGAAAACCTCACAATCCACTCATTACATTCATTTCCTATATTAATTGATCATCCCGAGACATTTACTGGCAAAACTCAAACTGTCCGAAGACCATTATCTATGGCTCCCGTCATGAAAATGATATTTGCGACAAGATTAGCACAAGAAACAACGGCCGATGACATAAATTATATAAAATAAATAATTGAGGGAGACTACTTTTTGAGATGTTATAAGTTCCGATCTACATTTACTGAAAGTATATCTTCTTTCAAAATCGTTGTGCCTGACAATTTTTTTGTACAATTAACTTTAAAAGAATTTTGGCCTTCTAGGTCATTCCTTAAAAAAATTCGGGAGAGATCCGATACTTTAGCTCATTTGCCTCTAAGATAAGTTTCAGGGCCAAAACAAAATAATTAATTTTCTATTTGCTATCAGAATGTAAGGGAGGTTAACACAAAATTAACCAGTTTATATACTGATAGCATTGGTTTTTATTATAATGTATTGGTTCGTCTCCGAAACATGGTTAAAAAAATCTATATTAAATAGTGAAACTTTATGTTCAAATCTATATGCAATATACTCAGATATAATAGAATCAGTGAAAAACAATTTCTGCTGCTTGCCTTTCGTGGATTACATTGGAATAGTAACTGTGTTTTGCCTTCTTATACTACTACTATACTACTTATACTATTATTCGACAAAGTAGCTGATGAAATGGATTCTGCAGCTGGTTTTCCACTATGATACGGATAATGATGTCTACGCGATCCCTACGAAAATGGAGGTCGCCTCCACGGTCGACAGGGGTGGGAATGTGAGGCGTAGTAACGTTTCGAAAAAAAAAAATCGAAATAAAAACTACAAAATGTCAGTACAGGTAAGTTTTTGTATCCCGAATTTGGAACCCTATATATCGGGAAGTATTGATTTCGAAAAAAGTGTCTGATTAGGATAACAAAACCTACCTTCGATAAAAGTTTTAGAATTTTCCGCCAGCTGGAGCTAAACTCAATTTGAACCAAACTATGGATCGCTTAGCCGGTGTTGGACATACCTCAGAGGAGAAAATCTCAAGTCCCGGCCAAAGGCCGGCTACTTATAAATACTTAGATACATATTAGTGGAGAAAATATCAATTTCATGATTTGTATCACATATATCTTTGGAACTATAATAGATATCAGCACATATGATACCATTTTGGAAATTCCATAAGCTTTCAGATGATACCCATTTTGTACATAAGGGTTTTGTAGAACCGGATAAAAACCTTATTTTGTATTCGAACTTTTGGGTCAAATATCCGAGCAACCGGGTATTTCTCCCACGAAAAACATTTCCTTTGCCTAATCAGGTTAAAAAATTCAAAATGATCCAAACATAGCCCCTAAACTCAACTTGCTCCCGACTTTGTTATACTTCACATAACGCCAACGATTATGGTGCGTAATAATGGCAAAAAGTAGTTTACCTATTGTAATAAGTGTATTTTGTTTCCAATTTAAGGGATACTGCTTTTCAACTTGAGGTATAAATCCTTTTCAAAGATTTCCTAGCGATTTCTTATTTAAAAAAAAAAAAAACAAAATTCCAAATTAGTACATTTCTGATATTAACATAGTCTGCCATTATAATTGTTAACATTTTATAAAAGCCTATTGTGCAAGTTTTAAACTGGGTTCTGAGGCAAACTTAAATTAAATCGTATATTTACAATAGGGAATGTTGCTTTATAAAAAATTGATATTTTGTACTTTAACACAAAGAAAAAACTTCAACCAAATCATTGAATATTTCTCAAATAATAAATAAATGTTGCCCACTCATACCTTATAGCAGTGGAAGGAATGCCTTCATCGTCCGACTCCAAACGAATCTTTTTCATAGCAACTATTTGACCAGTAAGCCTATTCCGGCCTTTATAGACAACACCGTAAGTGCCCTCGCCAATTTTTTCTATTTTCTGAAAGTCTTCCATCTGCTCAAAATCCGCCTTTAAACTTAATACCGCCAAACTAATACGGAGTAAACCTAAAATGGCTTCACAGATACAGCTCAATTATTTGGTATTTCAAAGTAAGATTCACACGAAACTATATATTGTGCAACTTGTACGTTCTTAACGAATTTTCAGTCTAATCGTTTAGCAATCACTTCTAAGCTAAACTCAATATTAGTTCCGTTCGTTTACGTGCAAGAATTGTTGCTATCATGGTAGAAGAATATAGGTAGATGCATCAACGCTTGGGAACATTTATATGTCAACATTTTTTAAGTGCTTTGTCAAAAATAAATCGATTTTGATATGTTTTCCTACACGACGCAAATCGAAGGTTGTACTGATATGTATTTGTGTATTTTTCAACAATTTTTACAAATTTCAATAATTTTTCATTCACGATTTTCAAGCAGCTGTGTCGATGCGCCTACCTGTATTCTTCTACCATGATTGCTACTCTTCATCCCATGGTAGAAATGCCAGGTAACAACATAGGCCAAATTACAACAAAGTAACTTTTGTAGGAACTTGATGTGTCAAAATTGTAGAGCAAAGCGAATTCAGTAAACACAAGAAATTGTGGCAAATTGTTTCCCACCAATCAAAACATGTTATTTTGAAACATTGAAGCAAGGTAGATCTACAAGGTAGTCGGATCAGCCCAGCTGACGGCACCTTTAAATGTCAAAACAAGTTGTTGTAATGCTGAATTCGCCCTAAATGAATGCAACACAAAAACAAAGTTTGTTTATGACTTCTTCACTAAAAGTATTTTTTTCTGACCCGATTACCAGTAAAAAAATTACAAAAAAAAAATGAAAAAGAAAAAGATTTTGTTGTTGGGTATTATGTTCTTGGCTATTGGCCAAATTATTAAGATTTTGATCACTGATATTCATATTCTGCTGTTGAACATGTGGTGTATGTATGGCCACATGCATTGGAGTGTTGGTGCCCTGTTTTTGCATGGAACAGTTCGAGAATGGTTGTTACTGCTGCTGCACATGTACACTGTTAACATGCGATACATTTTGGGCAATGTCGCTGGAGATGTTGGCGGGTGAATCCATACCATGTGGTGCAATTTTATTCAAATCCTAGGTGTTGAGATTATGTCCAGCACTGGTATTAAAATGTAATTTATCGTGGACAAGATATTACAGTTGTGGGCTTGTATAAACATTTCGAGGGCTAACTATCAACTTGGGACTTTTGCAATGGACCCAAGAGTCGTATTATTACTTGGCTTAATTTCCACACACAACATAAAATGTAAACAATCATCTCGTTTCTGATTGGATGAAACAAATTTGCCGCAAACTTTAAATGTCATAACGAATATATATGTTTCGCCTTAGATGCCAATTTTGACATTTGAGGGTACCACAAAAGTTGCTTTGTTGTAGCAATTCGCCGATGCGGTTACCTGTTAGATCTACCTTGCATTGAAGAATATTTATTTTTAATTTTTTTTTTAATGAAATTTCAAGTTTGCACGGAAATGTTGTGTTGCTGTGAATTGTACTTTATCGGTGTCCGCTCCAAGAGAACTCTATAAAAACAAACAATAGCATATAATAATGCGTTAAACGTCTCGTGGGATGTAAATCTCAGTGGAAACAAATTCAATAAGAATTCGGAGAAATCAAAATATGAGGAAGGAACAACCAACCCATGAAAAATGTCAACATTAAACGGTCAATTTGTAGAAGACTTTCTCAAGACCCCAACTCGTGAATTTTAAACAAAATTGAGACATCTTTAATCATCAAGTGCTGGATTCTTAAATATTTTGGGGTCTCAAATCGTGGATTTTGACATAGTTTCTCGGATTTTAAAGAACATTGCCGAGCCCAAATTAAATGAAAATACCTATTTCAGTGTCTTCAAGGATTCAAGTCAGAGGAATTTAAGGAAAAGCAAACAATCCATAAATAAAGACGATACATTCGCCTATTAAATTTTCTAAATTTACCGGAGAACAAAATTATTGGAGCTTAATTTTGGGCTTAAATTATGAAAATAAATTGATCCTATAAGTTGCATTATTATTCATTTTTATAAATGTTCTTAAAACGAGTAAAAAAGACGTATACCATTAGCCTATGTCCATTTATTTATGTATATTTTGACTTAGTATAGTGAATGTTGACCGGTAGTCCCAGATCTTATTTAGGTGGAAGTATTCCGTTACGCCAAGATAAAAGAAACTTCAATTAGTAATGTTGCATTTTCATTACCAGAAGGATTTGACCGTTTTTTCCACTTTCTCATCTAACTTAAAGTTTATTAAATTTTTAGGATATGTAAAGTTTGAACGAAATCAGATGCTCCATAAGGTCTAATTTATTTGCCTTGAACGTGTTGATCGAATACTCCTTCGAGCGTTATCGCGCGTACAGACAGACTGTAGGGCGGACATTGCTAGACGGTCTCCAAATGTCAAACGGATTACGTCCAAGGAGACCTAGGATTCAAAACCATTATTCCAATGCCATTTGGCTGAGAGTATAAGGAATTCTTGATTTATTTATTGTTTCCGTTTAAAGTTTAAATTTATATTATGTTTCTGTAAGGCGAATTCAAATTACAACAATTTTTAAAATTTAAACAATTGTTATATATTCCAATTACAAACATTTAAATTTTTGCATTATTCTTTTATTTTCAACCCACAAAAAAGAAATTTTACAATTATCAATGTTGGAAATTGTTCAACTTTCAAATTCTGTACTGCCGACGTGTTAGGGCAAAACTCATATAAATACAATACAAATACGAATTTCATTTATCTCGTTAAGTTAAAAATATTTCAAATATGCATATTCATCTCTGCATTATCTGTAACTTACCTCGTCAAATTACACTGTGCAGAAAACAGGTTTTCATCTCTGATTTGTGAATATATAATGAATTTGTAAAATAAGATATGACAATAAAATGTTGTCAAATGAATTATTTGGAAAAAAATGTAAACATATGATTGCATGACTATATCTTCTTAATTCTAACATGGTCTTAAGCTTAAACATAAAAAATAGACATTTTTAACCCTTCAATTCAAGGAAACATTATCGGTTCTGCTTGTTCTTCTATAGTCCTCCAATGGCGTTTTATTTGGAGATTGCCGTTAAGGATCTACCCATGGTACAATGAAGACAAGGTAGGCTGACTTTGAAAAAATTGCAAGTATAGAGGTCTACCTGTATGGCTTGTAATGTCAGAATTACTATCAAAACAATCAAAAAACAAACTACGCGTTGCATCGATTGTGAATAATTAAAAACCGCGAAAACTGAATGAAATGTCAAAATTTCTTTTCATAATCATGTTCTACATATCTGTAAAGGTTTATTTCGCTACAAAAATGTAAATTTTGTCGATGTATACGTTGTAATATGTATTTTGAAAACATATGAATTTGGATATTTTCTGAACATTTTTTTATTATTGAAAAGGATACACGCACATAAACAAATAAAGTTAAGGTATTAAGTTAAGAAAATAAAAAATTAAAATAATATGGTATCATAACCCTACCTTTATTTTATTGTACCTGCCACTCTTTTACCCAGATTCTTTTATTTCTATTACTGTTTTCATTTGTTTTTTTTTAAGCACATGGCCAAAATCGGAAAAACTGGATCGTATGTTATCGACATCGTCTGTACGGCATGAAATCAAAAGCATGAATGCATGAACTACGTGCTCTGAAAGTGCACGATTTTGATGACATGCATTTTGACCGTGTACATTGGAAGATCAGATTAATTGTCTACATTCTGCACTGTGAACGGAGGTGTTCCACTCGAATCAGAGGAAAGTGTCACAGTTCGCCAGATATAAACATAGTGTGCAGGGAGCTTCCAAAGTGGGGTGATATCACCGAAACTGTTTAACATCTACTTTTCCTGCTTTCACGCCCCCTAGGCGGTATTGAGATCGTACCCTATGCGGATGACTTTACGATCATGACATCTATCTCGCGAAAATATACGCCAATATGAAAATATACGCCAATATGAAAATATACGCCAATAAGTCAGCGGCACTCTTTAGGTTAGGTTAGGTTAAAGGACGCGCGGTTACCAAATGGCAACCACTCCACTCGGAGATCTATAGGTCCATTGTATTCATCCTAAAAGAATGTTAAGAAAAGACGAAATAGTGATTGTTAGTAGAGGTGAACATAAAAGATAAAGTTGTAGAATGTGATCTACGGCTGAGGAGTTTGCCGTGTCGTCTTTAGCCACTTGAGGTCATTTCGAGGTCATAGCTCTCTCCTTACAGTGACCTGTGATGATACCCACCACAAGTTTTAAATCAGGTTTTGACAATGACATCAGCGACCTTGTTCTCTTCTCTGAGAGTGTGGGCCAGATTCTTTTGGGGGTGGTGCATCCCATTTCGTCCAGCCATTTTTGTTGGATTTTCTGTGAATAACCTCTAGGAAATGGCACAGTGGTGGTTTAACCGATTGTCTACTTCAATTGTAGTTGATTCGGATCATAGTCTGGCCAATTCGTCTGCAGTCTCGTTACCTGGGATGTTATAATGTCCAGGAACCCAACATAGCTTGATGGACAACCCAGTGTTTTCCAAGGCTTCCCTGCAGTTCAAAACAGCCCTAGACTTGATAGTAAAGGAACTCAAGGCCTTCAGTGCCGCTTGACTATCGACATATATAGTCACTGGACCGCTGACCTCAATGCTTCTCGTGACCAGCAGGTCTATGTCCTTTTTGACCGCAACGATTTCCGCCTGAAATACGCTACAGTTGTTTCCAAGCTTGTAGGATTCACGAACATTAAGGGTATCACAGAAGATACCAGCTCCCGTACCACACTCTATCTTTGAACAGTCGGTATGAACAGGTATGCCGCGGAAAGGTGGGTTATGGGCGTCTCTATCAGGTATGTGTATGTCAGTTGGGTAGAAGCTTAATCCCACATTCCTTACACGCCTTAGAATCGCAGAATGTCCAAAGGGTTGACTGCGCCATTCACTTAGTTCTCTGAGTCGAAGAGCACTCCTGAATGCCTGTTCCTCCACATATATATTCAGCGGGCTTAGGCCCAGTAGAGTATCCAGTGCTGCTTGAGGCGTGCTCCTGAAGGCACCCGTTATTAGTAGGGATGCGGCTCTTTGAACTTTGTTAATGTGTCGTGAGTAGTTTGACTTCTTCAAAGAATGCCACCATACTAGAGATCCATAGGTTAGAATGATGCACTTGATCGCTTTGCCGATTTCTTGCCGTTTCGATACAGCCAGGGAAGTGTGTGTTGGCTAGCAGGTTAAGAGTCACTAGTCCAGAGTCAGTCCATGTGCCGTCAGTCCGTTTTATACTTCCTATGGATTTAGGATCCTTCGAAAAGAAATTTGGAGGCATCGTTGACACTTTCTATCGACTCAGTGAAGCATACCCAAGAGGTGCACTTGGCCTTCTTGATCTCACTGTTGTACTTGTTAAAAGATGCTATATAGACATCCCAGTCCGTACGTAGTTTGGTCTTGTTGGTCCTATTATACAGTCGCCTACTATCCCTCCTTAAATTGGCTAAATGTTTTGACCACCAAACTGGTTGACATTTTTTTCCTGGGTAGGTTAGTGGACAGACTTTTTCATAGCAATCAATCAAAGCACTCGTTATCGCATTTACGGAGTTGTCTATATCGAGGGTTGAGGTTAAGACCATGTTGTCGAAACAGTGAAGCCTGGGTAAATCCAGTTCCGTAAATTTGTCCCAATTTGCCTTTCTTGGATTTCTATGTGGTTTTTGATGAATACCCTCTACTAAGATTTTGAAAACTATCTTTCCGTGGTCTGAAAACGAGCACTCAGGAGAAACTTTCCAGTCTTGTATAAGAGATTCATCCTTGTTAGTTAGGGTGAGGTCAATGACCTCTGTCCTGTCTTTGATTTGAAATGTTGCATCGTTGTCCCTATTACATATTTTGAGATTATATTTTAGGATAAAATCAAAAATGGACTCACCTCTGACATTGGTATCGTTGCTGCCCCATTGGAAGTGGTATGCGTTGGCATCACAACCTATGATTATATGCCCTTTGTCAGCCAGATCTTTGAGGAGCTCCTCTACTCCGTGGTCAGGTGGGTTAGGTCGCTCGTACGGTAGGTAGAGAGAGATGAAAATGTGAACCCTCCCGGATTTAGACTCCAATTTCGCCACCGTAACGTCTCCTCCACTGTAGTTGCTAAGAAAGATAAGATTTAAACTCTTTTTGGCAACAATACACGTCCTTACCTTATCACCATTGTAGACCGCGTAAGAGACGTGCTGCCCACTCCCTAGTCCAGTCACCCTATTATTGTATATATAGGGTTCCTGAATCAGAGCTATGTCTACTTCAGCTTTCGTGAGGGATAAGAGTTAGGCAGCAGCTGTTTTGCAGCGATGTAGATTAATCTGCATGATGCTAAGTAGCTGCTGTTTTCTTCCACCTTATGCAACGGCGTTAGCCGGAAACGGATCCAACCAGCGCCGAAGTGCAATTTTCCCCCACGAGCTTGAAGGTACTACTGGCCATCCGTATCTATATACTTTGATGACCAGGCCCCCTCCCTCAGTGCTTGAACTGACAAGACGCCAGTTGTCTGTCCTAAGGTTGGGATTCTGCTTGCCCAGTATTGTCAGGATGCTGTCAATACCTTACGACAGGGGATGTCCTTTAAGGATACAGCCGCCAGATCACATCCCTGCCAGAGGTCACGAAAGCCAGATACTGCGGTGACCAGGTAATCCTTAGATTCCTGATTTCCACAGCACATGACTTTCATGCTCTGTAAAGGGTAGCGCTGCCAAACTGCATATTTCGTGGGTCACCCTCTCCCGTGAAGACAAGCTCCCTCAGTCGATCTTTGAATAGCAGCCATAGACTGTCGCTGATTTTACCTTCCGCTTCAGCCTTGTCGATGATTGCTACCCGAAGATTGTCCGGGTAGATGGTCTGAGAGTATTTCCTCTTCCGTCCTGTTTGGCCTGCAGTTTGTGACTTGACCTCCCCCTTGTGGACCTTGTCAGGATTA